GGCTGGGGCCGGGGGCACGGCGGCGCTTTGGCAAGCAGAGCCGTCTCCCTTCGTCCCCTTGCTCTGGTGACCGGCTCAGACGTTCACTGAGGGCAGCCTGTGCTGTGCTGGTTAGTCCCTTCACTCAGGCCCACACGCATAGTGTGGTTTTAGCCTCTAAATGAATAACATCTGTGCTTGTCTTATGAGTCTAGCATTTTTAAACACGTGAACGTGCATGCACATGTCAGTACTCAGTCTGGTCCTTTTGGTTGCAGACTCTGTTTCGGGGGTAGACTCTCCATGACAGGTTCTCTAGCCTTTACAGACAACACTTATCCTAGATCTTGGGTTGTAGACACTGCATCCGGGCACTGGCACCTCTCTCCCTGTGCAGAGAGGACTGGCCTCCCTGGATTTCACGGTGGCTCTGTCTTCTGTAATCATTCCTGAGACCCAGAGCCTCTGCTGAGTAGGCGGTGGACGCTGCTGTCACCAGTACCCCGGTATTCCTGGCTGCTCTCTGATCCTGAACTGAATCACTGGATTAGGTGACAGTGATGCAGGTCAGGAACCCAGGGGTGTGGTGAGCAGCTCTGGGATTACGCCGGGATTTAGGAAGTGTCGGGGTGTTTGCAGCTCCTGTCCCAGTAGTCACTGTTGGTCAAAACCAGCTTTCCACCAGCTTCTGTTTTTCAACACAGCACGTGGTTGATGAGTTCCTGTGTGTGGCTGGTTTAGGTAAAAATTCTGCTGGTGGGAATGTAGGGACTGAAGCAGAGCCTTTGTTTCCTCCCTCACTTACTAGATCCCGTCAAGTTGGAGAGCATGTGTGGGACTGAACCCAGAGGAGCGCGGGCTCCGCCTCGTCTCTTGGGGGCAGTAGCCTGTCGGCCGCCACGCCTGCGGCTTCTCTCCCCCTCCGCCCCATCTCCCCTGACTCGGCAGGGTCACGGCTGAGGTGCCTTGCACAGGACGTCTTGTCGTGTGGTGAATGAGCCACAGGCCCCAGCGCCTCAGCAGCTCTGGCCCCAGTTGCTTCCCTCTGAGAAGATGGCTGAGGGGGGCTGGGTGGAGGGGGTCATGACTCCCAGGGTCCGTCCCTGCTCCCAGAGTGCTGGGCTCTCTCCTCGTGAGTCTCTCCCTGGGCCTCCACAGACCTGAGATTTGACACTTTTCCAGGCTGACAGACAAGGCGTTGAAGGACTACTCGGTGTATCGCTCTTCCCTTCTCTTTTGGGCCCTTGTCGATCTCATTTACAACATGTTTAAGGTAAGGCGGCCCCTGGGAGCGTGCCTGGGCTCGGCAGGCATGTGGGCATCTGTGTGGGGGCTCTGGCCCTGCCTTGGCCTCCGGCTCCACCAGCTCCCCCGAGAAACAGGCGGCGCCCACCCACCGGGGGGAGGGTTTCCAGTGGCTTAGACCCCTGTCCGTGACTGCATTTCTACCCACGGCCATTCCGTCCCTGGGCCCTGTCTCCTGCTCTTGCAGACCCTGTCCTTCAGGCGGGTGCCCCCCCCCCCTCCCCACCGCAGTCACCCTTTCGCGCTGGTTGCTCTTGTCCCTTTCTGGGGTCAAGTCCTTGCCTTGTGTGAGTGTAACTTATTCCAGCCCAGCTTATGTTAGCTTGGCCAAACAGTTTGTTCGTGAGATAGTGCAGAAAAACCCGAATGAACTTTTTGGTCACCTTCATAATAGGGTCCCTCATCTCTGCCTTGAGAGACTCAGAGGGTTTACAGCTGGCTCCTTCCATCATCTGGGTGAAACAGCTCAATTAAACCATGTTGACGAGCCCCTCTTCCTGGGGAAGTGCAGGTGTGGGAGGTGTGGGGAGGGGAGGGCGTGTCGCCGGTCGAGGCTTGTAGGTTCCCAGGACTCGTGCCTGAGAGGAGCTGTGAGAGGAGTGGTCAAAAGTGGTGTTCCTCCTGGAACCAGAATGCACCCTCCAGGGAAAATGTGGGTGTGACAGGAGGGCTCGCGTCCTCCCTGCCTGGGCTGGGGCCCCGGTGACCGCCGGCCTGTTTCCCGCTGCTGCTTGTAGAAGGTGCCGACCAGCAACACGGAGGGAGGCTGGTCCTGCTCCCTCGCCGAGTACATCCGCCACAACGACATGCCCATCCACGAGGCCGCCGACAAGGCCCTGAAGGCCTTCCAGGAGGAGTTCATGCCGGTGGAGACCTTCTCGGAGTTCCTGGACGCCGCCGGTCAGTGTCAAGGGTTTTCCTCTTTCACAGACCGTAGGGGTGCTGGCCATTGCTTTCATCTTCATATGCGGGGAGAAACAGGCGAGAACCAGCCTGTGGGCGACCCCCACGAGGTCCGGGAGAGGTGTGTAACTGCCAGGTCGCTGGTGAATGAGATGCAGCTGCGACGTGGGGCTCGCTTCAGTCCAGGCGCTATGTGCAGCGCACATGCTTCCCCAGGATGCGGGGCATCCCCGTGTGAGGTGGAGCTGTGGCTATGCACATTTCACAGGTGGGACAACCGAGGCTTTGATGATTGAGCAGGTTCCCAATGGGAATGCCTGGAAAAAGCACTAGAGTGCCTTTGGCTTCCTGACTATTTATAACAGTTCGCAGAATTAAGATGGAGCTTGCCTGTCTTCCTCCTGCCTCTTGGGGATCCAGACATCATATGTCACAGCTACCCCCTGGGGAGGTGTGGGTGATACCAACTCTGACTCCTGAGAGAAATAGTATCGAAGGAGGGCAGAGAACGGCTCTGCTTATGGGTACAGTGCAGCATCTCGACCTGCCGTCCCCGCAATGTCCTCAGACAGGTCCTCACCCCCGCTGGGGAACTGAAGTCCACTGTTGTCTTCTGGTGTACAGTCTGTAAGCAACGAACCTGTTGTACCAACTGCAAGCATCACACTTTGTTTGATTTCATGACGCAGCAGGTGACAGCAAGGGGAGGGGCCTTGGGCCAGTGCTGAGAAAACCTACCCGGGACGAAGGCCCCGCGCCCCATGAGGCCGCAGCCTTGCCCCCGGCCAGAGCCAGAGCGCGGGGCTGCGCCTGCCTCGCTCCTGTGGGCTGGGTGCCCTTTCTGCCTTTGCGGGCCTGCCGCCCCCCGCGTCATCTGGGCATCAGGGCTTGGCGCTGCCCACCTGCATCTCTTGGTTCGCTTCACTCGGTGCTCTCAGGAGAGTCTTTTCAGCCTGGACACTTCACTTTGGCTGCACTCTTTGCTTTTCATTGGTAGGCAGCCCTGAGTGAGAGCAGGTAGTCCTGTGTCTGTGTTCTCAGGGCCCAGCTCCATGCCTGCTGCCCAGGGGTCTGCAGAGCATCTCCAGAACGGCAGAGTCTGGGCCAGAGGAGGAGGGGGTGGGCATGGGAAGGCGGGGCTTCGCGTCAGCCCCGGGCAGGGAGGGCAAGGCCCTGTCACGTGGGGTGGGAGCCTCTGCCCCATGCCCTCCGAGCGCAGGCGTTCACAGCCTGGCTTTATTGCTTTGTTCAAACTGGTAGAAAATTTCAGAACATCAGACACACCCTCTTCAAACGCAAGGACAGAAACACCTTCCAAAACCAGCAGGAACCGATGGGAGTCACTCTCCCTCCGTTAGCGGGGCTGCCGGGAGACACCTCTGTCTGAGCGTTGGCCAGGCCTGCGGGTTGACGGCCCCATGGTGGTCAAATGTGAACCCTGTTTGTGAGGGAGGGGCAGGGCTGCAGGGGGCCCGATGCTGTGCCCGCGGCACTTTCCCAAGACTGGCCTCGTCTGATCCCTGGCCCCCCATCTGGCGGTGGAGGGAACAGAGCTCCTGAGCACTGGCCGCTGGCACCAGGCCCTGGACCAGGGGTTGGGTCCCAGCCCCCAAGGGTGGTGGGGTCGGCCTTTCTTGGCCTCCGGTCCCTCTGAAATATGCTGAAGGCCACAGAGACGCTTTCCAGAGACCCCCTCCTTCGTGCGCTGCGCCACTGTGGACTTGCAGGCTCCCTGCAGGGCCCAGGAACCCAGGTTTAGCATCTCCACGCTTGGGAGATCATGAGCGCGGCGCCCCTGACCGGCAGGCGAGTGTTTGCTCGGTGACCGTCTCCCGGCCGTCTCTGGGCTCCGGTGAGCAGCTGGTTGGAGCTCGTCGGGGGACCCTGCGTTCTCCACAAGGACGCGGCCGACGTGACTCGGGCTGGGCCGTGCATGCCGCAGCTAAGCAGCCCCCGCCTGTTTTCCAGGTCTCTTGTCAGAAGTCACGGATGCAGAGAGCTTCCTGAAGGACCTGCTGAACTCAGTGCCCTGAGCCCCACTCGGAGGCCGGTCGACAGAGACGGAAGCTGCCTGCCTGCGCCCTCGGTGTCCCTCCTCCCACGCGATCCCCTGGGGCGCCGCGTCACTGCTCCCCTTCCCCTCACTCCTCCTGGAGTGGCTTGGGATCTTAGGCTTCCTGTTGTATCTCGTGTGTGTGGTGCGCTAGCTCTGAAGTTGTCTGTAACCCAAGCTGTCGAAGGACTTGCACATACCTGGGAGCCACGAGTTGTCCTGGCCCACTGAGTCCCTGCGTGTGCACATGTTGAGAAATAAACGAGTGACTTCATACCCGTTGGAGAGGGAGGTGTTGCCTGCACTCAAGCCCCTCCTCGGTGACACTGGCCAAGTACGTCTCCTTGCCTGCACGGCCCTTGCCGGCGTCGGCAGGGAGCTCCGTATGTATCATGTTTGCGGTCTCTTGGCGCCGAATGGAGCCTGTCTGTTCTCAGCCAGCAAGTTGGGGCACTGCGTTTGACAGCTGTGATCTTCTCTGAAATAAATGCCTTGGCTTCTCTCTTCATTGTTTGGGCCTGAAGAGCTGGAGCCCAAAGACACGTGATTTTCTAGTCCCCGGCCAAAGATGGGCTCAGCACAGTTGGGCGCTGGTCTTTCTGTAGCAGAGGGTGTTTGGCATTCGAATTGGCAATCCTTCGGCGACGTCTCTGCGGGTTTGCCACGTTGGGAGAGGCCTGGGGCAGACTTAGAATGATGAGGAGCTGCCCCTCATGAGCACCTTCTCTGCCAGGCCCGTGTGTGTGTGATTTCTAGTCTTTTAACAGCTCTGCCGGAGGGCACTGTGGACCTGCATCGCTTGCTCAAGGCCCCCCAGCTGGTCGCCGCTGGAGCGGAGGTCTGTGCCCCTGAGGCCGTGTCCTGAACCGCTGCGGCAGTTGCCTCCCGGGGCCGGGAGCCGTGCTTCCCCACGTCGGTGGGCAGCAGCCGTCTCCTCGAGGCAGCAGGGCCCCCGTGAGCTCCCCAGATCGCAGGGCAAGGCCGACGCGAGCAAGGGCTTGCGGGGAGGGAGAGCTTGCAGTGGCCGCCTCCTTAAGCTCCCCATGCGCCACTCTGCCTCCTGCCTCCCCGGTTTCGATGTCCAGTTTATGTGGCTCCCCGCTCAGGCCAGACCGTTAGGGACAGGAGGCACACCAGGCGTCGTCAGAGGACTCCCGGAGCCAGGACTTCGGGCCCTGCCCGAGCCCCCAGCCAGGCACCACAGGCAGTCACCCAGGAGACGGAGGTGGTTTGTCGCGAGAGCCGGGCTGGAGGCCCTGGCAGGCGGGCACAGTGTGTGCCGAGTGCGCGGGGGCCTGGGGGTGTGAGTGGGTGGCTGGGCTTCCTGAGGGGCCGCCGGGCTCAGGGGGCATCAGGCACCCACCCCTTCATCCACGTCTCAGCTCCGCCCCCCTGATGGCACCACACTCCCCACCCCCCGCCGTGGAATGCACTGTCGGTCTCTGCGGGCTGGGGTGGTTGCTTGGTTTACACGAGTTTACTTGCTGCCCTGTGGTAAGGAAGTGACTGTCCTTATCACTGATGAACTCATTTGCAGTCTGTGGAATCTTGGCTTTAACAGACTCTGCATCTCAGGTGGGGTCCAGGTACGTCCGGCTTTGAAGGTGGATGACGGGCCTTGTCGGGAACATGCTTCTCACCCGAGCACAGCGATTTCATTCCCTCTGGCAGGTCCATCGTCTCCTGCTCCCTGCTGTGTCCCGAGGACCTCCCGGGTCCACGCTGCTGTGTGGAGCTGCTCTCATGTAACCTCCCAGCCGGGAGTGAGCTGGAGCAGCCGCATCTGGGCCAGCATGCCCGCGGGGAGCGTGGGGGAGGGTGCGGGTGAACAGGCAGGACTGGACCTGCGCGCCGAGCGCCACCGGAGGCTGTGCCGCGCGTGTGGTCACGCCTCGGGGCCACAGGCTGCCCAAGCACCTTCAGGAGCTCAGCCACGGCTTGGCTCCTTGGGCTGGCAGGGCTGGGGTCCCCAGAGCTCATGAGGAGATGTTCACTTTTTCTCTGCCCTTTGTTTTTTGATTTCTTGCAAAAGCCTCAGAGCCTTGGCCCAGGCCATCAGTTGGCATCAAGCCCCTTGTTTCACGGTCACAGCTCTTCCTGGTTTCTTCCGGGGGTGCTTTCCAGGGGCCGCCTCAGTCATGGATGGATGGCTGGCACGGAGGCCGTCCTGGTCTATGATGGGTCCCAGGTGGGGCCCCCAGCGGATCTTGGGCTGGGGTGGAGACTGGCCAAGGGTGAGACCTCGCTCCACCAGCCCGCATCTCCCGAGGGCAGCAAAGAACATGAGGTACCAGAGGAGCTGGTCCCCTCCTGTCCCGAGCCGTTTTCTGGGCTGACTGCTTCGTGGGTCCTTGTCTTTCTCAACAGGCGACCACTGCGGGGGGTTCAGAGGATGCCAGGCTGGCCCCGCCTGATGATGGCTGCAGGGTTTAAGGCCTTGGAGTCCGCCTTCAGCAATAAAGCCTGAGATGGGGCTTCAGCCCCTTCTTCTAGAGCAAACGGCTAAGGCCTCGGGGCTCCTCCAACGGGTTGCATCTTCCCTGGCCCCTGGCCTTCCGAGTTCAGTGCTCTGCTCTGTGAGGGGACCATACGGGGGTCAAGTGTCCCCCGCCCCCCACGAGGCCCCTCTGTCCGCCCCCACCCTCAGTTTTATTGGCTGAGACGTCGGGACTCTTCTCGTCGGCGTTCCCGTGTCAGCCCCACGTGTGGGGGCAGGCATTCCACCTCTCCCCGCTCCCAGGTGAGGAGATGGCCCCACAGGAAGCGGTCTGCCTGCCGGGAGTCAGGGCGGGCGTGGGTGGGACTCCAAGGTCGTGTCTGCCCCGCTTGCCTGTGTGCCCTCTGGTCTGGACTGTCCCCTTGGCACGGGGCAGCGTGCGGGATGCCGAGGGCCCAGGGGCTCGCCAACCATCCGGGCCGTGCAGCTGAGACCCCCGCGAGCGCAGGGGTGGTGATGGGGCATCGGACACGGGGCCACGGGCCAGTGCATCTCCACTGCTGACCTGCCAAGTTGTCACGTGTGCCCTGCTGGTCCTGCGGCGAACGCTGGTGGAGCCTGGCCCCGGGCGTGTCCTGCTGCTTTGGCTTGGTGGGCCCAGGGGGCCAGGGACCAGCCCGAAAGGGAGACTCCCTCTGCCTTCGAGTTATAGCCTGGCTCTGGTGCTCTGGTGCTGCTGTCTCTCTGTCCACAGCCCTCAGCCTGCCTCTTCCCTGACCCCACGTTGCCTGCTCCTGCCGCCCCTCCACCCAGCCCTCCGCCGTCCTGGCCGGTAGGACAGGTGCTCAGCAGCATGCACGCGGCCGTGCACGCGCCGCCTGCGCTCACGCCAGCCCACAAGCCTCCGCGTCCGGAGCAGGCCCCGGGCTTCAGTGGTCGCTGTTTGCTCTGGGTTCCTTGTGTCTCTGCAGCTCTGCAGTCCTTGCCCGGGGCTGCTGCCTTCCCCGTCTGTCCTCATCTGCCACCCGACCTCAGTCTCGGAGCCTGGCGCAGGCTCGTGAGCCGCCAGCTGGCCCCCTTTGCTCCCGGCTGAGCCTGGAGCCTCTGGCCGAGGAATGTGCCGGGCAGGGCTCTTACCCCCGGGGCTCAGTATGTGGGCGCCCCCCTGCCATCCAGAGCTCCGGGCTGTGTCCAGTGGCCTGGGCCAGGCCGGAGCCCTCCACCGGCTTCAGAGCTGGGAAGGTGCCCTCTGGCCTCTCTGGGCTAGGGACGGTGGGGTATGCAGGATGGAGGCCTGCCCGAGGCCACAGCCTCAGCCCTTGTCCTCTCCTGTCTCCTGGGCCGACAGAGTCAGCACTTAGGCGGTCACCCGGGTGTGTGGAGGAGGCTTTCCACGGCCTGGCCGACCCTGGAGAGAGGACAAAGGGGGCAGAGGTGGCCCCGGAGGAGGGCAGGTCTCCGGGGAGAGAAGGTGGCGGGTGGAGTGTGGTGCCTGCTGGGCACGGCCCACCTGTGCCCACAAGTCTGATCGTCCGGAGCGGGCCCCACGCTTCCGCCCAGGCCCCTCGGGGGAGCGGGTGGTGGCTGGGGTGCCCTGGGCGGGAGAGCTACAGTCCCTGCTGCTGAGGGGGGCTGAGTGGGGCCGCTGGACGGGGCCAGAGTCCATCCCGGGGCTTACGGGGGTGTCAGTGAGGGGCCCAGGGGAAGTGCCGTCCCTGAGCATTGGCAAGGTTGGAGGAGACGGGTCTCTCTGTTTTTGTTTGTTTTTTGGCCACCCTGCGTGGTGCCAGGGATCTCAGTTCCCCAACCAGGGATCGAACCCGCACCCCCTGCATTGGAAGCGCAGTCTTAACCACTGGGCCACGAGGGAGGTCCTCCAGCAGCTGCTCGAGACTCTCTCTCAGGTGCCTCCGCCATCTCTGCCCCGTGACCGTTAACCCAGCTCCAGCTATCGGCTCGCCTGCCTTAGCCGCCAAGTGGGGCTTCCTGCCAGCTGTCAAGCTGTTAATAGGTTTAGGTAACTGGGGACTGGAGAAGGCTCTTGAGAGTCCCCTGGACTGCAAGGAGATCCAACCAGTCCATCCTAAAGGAAATCAGTCCTGAATATTCATTGGAAGGACTGATGTTGAAGCTAAAACTCTGGTACTTTGGCCACCTGATGCAAAGAACTGACTCATTTGAAAAGACCCTGATGCAGGAGGAGAAGGGGACGACAGAGGATGAGATGGTTGGATGGCATCACCAACTCAGTGGACATGGGTTTGAGTGGACTCCAGGAGTTGGTCATGGACCGGGAGGCCTGACCTGCTGCAGCCCATGGGGTCGCGGAGTCGGACACGGCTGAGCGACTGAATAGCACTCTTGTTTACTGAGTCCCTGCCCGGGCCCAGCACCGTGCCGGGCATGATTCCTGGGCTCCGATGTACTTCCTGCTTCCCAGATGAGGCACGTGAGGCTCAGAGAGGCAAACTCGCCTGCCCAAGGCCACATGGCCTGTAAGTGGGGTCCTCTGCCGGGTAGCCGGCCTGCCCTGCTCCGTCACCTGGTCCCATTCCCCATCCGGTCTGGGCACGGATTTGACTGGGTGGGCCCAGCTCCCAGCTGGAGGACACAGCTCTGGGAGGGCACCAGCCGGGTGCTCCACAAGTGGGCAGGGCGGCCACAGCCAGGGGTCCTCCAGCCGCTCACGGGAACCATGCGTGGGGTTGGGACTGACGAGATGCAAGGCCCTGGGCAGTGATTCAGGGCTTGGTGACGGGCAGGTGGCCGGGCCCTGATGGTCTGATGCCCGGCGAACCAGGCAGGTGGGAGGTGGCTTCCGTTTGCCGGGGCCTAAGTGCTGGGCTCGGGGCTGTGAGCGGCTGGGGCCCCGGCCCGTGCCCTGTGCCTCCGGGGGCAGGCGCCCGCTCGTTCAGGGGCCGGGGCCCCAGCTGTGGAGCCAGGGTGACTGCTCGCAGCCCAACGGCACCACCTGTGCCTCTGCTGACTCTGGAAGTGGCTGGCCCTTCACCCCGTGCAGGACACCGGTCCTTTCTCCCCTCCGGCTCCCACAGCTGAAAGGGCCCCGCTGCCTCAGGCGTGGACTCGGGGGGTCCCCGCCCGCAGGTAGCGGCCCCGCTACCCTTCACCTTTCCCCGCCTCTGCTCTCAGCCCTGCTGTCCGCAGGCCTCTGCCCACACCTGACCGTCACTTCCCTTCTGACTTGAGGAGGTGGGCATTGTTAGTTCTGTTACAAAGAGGACATTCGGGCCCAACGATGGGCATCCTCACCCAAGGCAGGTGCTCCGATTAGGGTTGCTGAATGAAATTCTGGGTGCTGAGCCAAATTTAAATTTCAGATAAACCACAAATAAATTTTTTTTTTGTATAAATCGTCCCCCCACCAGTGACTACACAGAACAGGTTTGTTTTTTTTTTTTAAATATGAGTATAGCCCATGGCATATTTGGGATATACTTAAAAAAGAAATTGCTAATCATTTATCTGAAATTCAAATTTTACTGCACCGCCTGCATTTTTCTTTGTTATGTTGACAACCCTAGCTCACTTGGTCGTTGAACACACAGTTTAAGCAAACTCAGGCTCTGACCACAAGGAAGCCCCCTCCA